TATCCCATATTCACTATTACCATTATTTTAATCAGTGCCTCTCCTTTCCCATGGACATACTTCCAGGTCTTCTTTCTTCAGACCTCCTTTGGACAGCTTTCTCCTCTTCTCCACTTCCAGGTCTCCTGTCTCTTTCCTTCACTATTAATCTTCTTCCAGGTTTCCACTGTCCTTCACATCTCTTCTCTTCCATTTAGTATTGCCAAGTCTCCTCTTCCCTTCCATTAACTCTTGCCTAAGCTGCAGCCAGCAAGAAAATCTTGCTCACCACTAGGGCTATGAAGGCCAAGCAGCTTCCTTCTTCAGGGAGCAAAAATAAACAAACAAATAAATACAAAAGACAAAAATCTGCTTACGAGGACTGCTGCTGCTGCAATTCTGCATAGACCCTGTGGTTTACTTTTCTCAGAAGGTCAATATCTTAGCTGACAACAGCCAGAAAAGTTGCTACAAAGCCTTGTGAGGAATCAGAAGCTGACAGGCAACACTGCAGGGTGATTTATTTCTCAGACCTAATATAAACATAATCAAGACACTAATATATTAATTGAAATCAAGAAGATCCCAGCAGACTCCAACGTCAGTCATTGCAACTCACGGAAGTGGTGTAGGTGAGGCACATTAGGTTGTGACAGTAAACACCATGGAATCAAAAATGCACTGATAATTGCCTACATGTCAGGGAATGCTGAAACGTGTCACATAGGAAGAGAAACAGGGCCAAGGAGATGATAATAAAAGAAATGAGCCAACCTCTGGAGACTTTTATGCAGTATAGGCTGCTAGTATAGAACTTAGACTTAACTGTACTAACACTGCTTTGAGAGTTGTAGAAGACAGGCACATCATGCATTTAACACAAACACTGAACATGCCGCTGTTCAAATATATGACATCTTTCAAGATCACCATCAATAACTCTCTTTATTGACCCCCCATAGGGTGAAAAGGGAGATTTGGGTGTGATGGGATTACCAGGTACAAGAGGACCAATGGGCTTCAAGGTTTGTTAACCCAGCTGCTGCATTTTCAGACACGACTTTCTAACATCCTGCTGACAGCTGCTTCCCTTGTGAATTCATTAGAAAGTGTTTGTAAAGATTTTTTTTTAAATACGGCCAGAAAGATTAGATGTTTTCCTGGAAGCTAAAAAGGTTACGCAATACGGCAGGGACTGGCTACTTTCCTAGATGCTCATTTTAATGCTTTGATGCAAATTAATATGATGAAAAAGAGGTTAATTTAAAAAGCAAAGTTCATATAACTAATCCCACTGGAGCAGTGGAGTTCCTAAAGGAGTCTGTAGCACTACCTGCAGTATTTTCCCACCTTTTGTAAGTTTATGCTAATAATTTCAGGCCTCTGCTACAACCATTTGCTGATGGGTGTAATAGTAGATAAAAGGAAATAGTTCACTATGTATATCATTATTTATCACATGGCTTCTGAATAAGAAAGTTTATAACACAAAATGTGATGAAAAAACTAAAAAAAATTATATTATTACTACTTTACTCAAAGCTGAAGCACAAAAGATAAAGTCATTGGATACATATTCTTAAGGAAAAGAAACTGAGAACCCTAGTCATCTTCACATTGGAAGCCAACTAAAATGTATTTTAGGGACTTATCTTTATGTTTGTCATGTAGGATAGTAAAAAAGGAGG